GTGTCCCCGATATCATTGGAATTTTTATTCCTCTATAATTTTTTTTTAAGTGCTTGGGGCAGCCATCACGCATAACCAAGGGATTGTTTAAAGAAAACGAATATAGAGTTCCCATTAGCTCTTGATTATACTTCTTTTACAACTTCTATAATTTATACTAATATTCTTTTATATATCCAGTTTACAGATGCCTTTTACCGTCAACAATTCAACGAATATAACTATCAAGAAGGAACACGAATATTGAAGACATTTATGCATAAACATCGATAAACCAGTGATTTTCATTTCTCCACAACTACTAAGTTATTGTATGCTACATTTTTTGTACTATATTCCTTGGCATTTTACTTGAGAATATTTATTGGAATAGGATAGGCCTTGATTAATCGATATGATCAAACGGAGAGATTTAAACGTGGGCCGAGCAATTACAGGGGAAGTAAATAGTGTCTGCAATAATCGATATATATATATATATATATATATATATATATAAATGACACCGAGTCAATTTATTCGTCAATACAAAACTTCGTAGAATTTAAAACATTCGACGCGGGGCAGATGATCCTCGTCCTTCCGCACTATTGTCACGGAAAAGCCATGCAAGCAAACTCAGTACTCGAACCGTGAGCAAGTTACCCTGAGACACGGAGCATATCGAAAGCGATGTTCGTTCAGCCATTCCGAGTAGTAAGCAACATGATAGACGGCGTGCTCGTGGATGCAGTGCGCACACGGAATTATACGATATCTCTGTCGAATCTAGTCAATAAGATGCACAACTACATCATCATCCTCAATCAACTCGACCACCGCTAGGATTCGGACGCTTTACACAACCTCCAATCAACATTTAGATATTTGCTGGCTGAATTTTAAGTGTAGTAACACGTTACTTCCACCTTTCGCCTACGAGTCCTTTTCTACTAGAAACAAGCTTTTGTTTTACCAGATGCAGAATTGTCACTTGTCCCGGTGAGTCACGCTACCTCGCGCGTGGTCACGCGTTTTCCGTCGTCTTCTAATCCGTTCAGAGCAAAAGCCATATCGCTCTTCACTGTATCCAGGACCGTTGAGGTAATTCACGTTTAGTTATCGCAGATAGCGCAAGCCATCTAAATAAGAGACTTGGGCTACCGTTGGGGATAAGATTAAAATTCTGAACGACGGAGATTGTAAGCTCTCAACATCACATCGTATCACTAACCTGAACTTATCAATGAGGGCATCATAACCCATCAGGTAATTAGTGCACAGCTGGTCTCATATCCGTGACACACCATTCGTAGATGTGCTGGATATTCGGGTGGACATTGTGATCGTCCGTGACTTACCATTGGTGCACTAGGCTTTGGATCAGTGAATAAGAGGTTGTAGGGAGCCGTTTGTCTTTCTCACAGTTTTTAGATGGATGATTTGTGAATCAACAAGGCCCGGTGATCCTATAAAAGATGACCTGAGATGACTACATATCCGAGAGAAGAAAATGCGGCCATGGCCATTCATATTGTCGGGACGCGATACGACGGAAACCAGTTCGAATAGTCTTTACTCTGGCGACCCCGCCAGCAAAAGTGCTCACAGAGTGCGACTCCAGTGGTATCTCTTAGATCACTTTACCTTCCTGTTTCCATTATGATTGTCAAAGTTTGTGTGCTTTTATTTTGCACATGTTCCTGATTTTCCACAGTTGCTATTCTTGAACTAATATAAGCTAAGATTATCCGGTTATGGTAGCTTGAAGTCACTTCCTTAATAGTAAAGTCCAAATCACTAGATGTTGACCTGAAAAATAAGAGTTCGTGTTTAATGATCGGAGATCTCACTCGAAGTAGCTTGAGCTTTTCCCTGGTGGAATGTCCTCTTTATCATGGTGGGCAGGTCTAAATAAATTAATTGCATCATAATGATAACACTTACATTGCCCTCGTGCCGTATGATGTTGCTGGACTTTTATGATTAAACTGATTCTCAGCTCTGTGTATAATCTCAACAGATTTGAACACCCAGACTAGACTTACCAGTTATTACCGAATGCGGCTGGTCGACTCTGTTTTGTGGATGCTTCTGGATACTCAATCTCTTTTGAATAGTTCGACCTTGAAATCCTGCTTGGACCAGGACTCATTTCAAAATCCTGAAAAACAACTGGGGCTGTAAAAGTAAGTTGGGTTCAGTCGATAAAAGCAGCTACACTTTTCTTCTTTTCTTCGTCAAATGCATTGGTTCTATGGCATCCGACGAGGGCACATCCGTTTCTTCTCTTAGAAAATCTTCATCTCTGAGAGCTTTAAAATAACCATCTATAAGAACCCCAAAGTAAAATTGGTAAAAACTTACCGTATTCCTTCAAAACCACAGCTTTGTATGGTTTTGCATTTCCCGGCAACTGATCGCCGGACTTCAGCAATTTAAGAAGAGGTCGGGTGAAAACCGTGCCCGGCTTGGGCCAGAGTACGTGCTCACTGTCCAGCATCTAACTCTCGTGGACAGTGACTATTGTTTCGTTTTTGAACTCAACTATGGCGTACATCTAAAAATAAATATGGTGTTAAAGGTTATTCGTCATTATCATGAAGAAACGAAGAATACGTGGCATGCCAACATTTTGCATTCTGTACAAAATAGACAATGGAATATTTACAAATGATCAATTTACACTTCGTTGATATCCTGATTCTTCGTTTTCATTTGAGTGATTCTATTCCAAGTGAACCTGAGTTAGAAACCGGTTAACAATCAACGTGCTTTAACTTACTTCTGTGGGCATAAATGTATGTAGTAATGGATAAAATACGTATCCCGTCTTGTATGGCAGAGGCAAGCATTTGTATTCAACATTGTTCTTTGGAACAAGGTGCAAATGAGCAACTTTTTCACATTGAAAGATGTACAGATCCGTAGGTTTGATTCATCTCTCAAAGAACGGCTGAACTGATGCAAACGTATTGACCAGAAGTCCGCCATAATCCTCACCCACAATCAATCCTGGCTGCCCATTATAAATTACGGCATTATCCGGAAGGGCCTTGGCTAATTCATAGGGAAAACCAACTACACGTTGGCTACGTGCAATTCTGCGACTGCCGTGAACTGTGGAAAAGAGTTAGTTCATCAATGGCTATCTGCAAACGCAACGGCGCATTCAAAGTGGAAGGCCTTGGGCCGAATGTATTTTTAACGACATCAGACAATCCAAAGTGAACACATTTTCCGGATTCCATGCATATGCTTTTCGATATTTGAGGAGTACGTAGAAGAGTTCGACTATCGCTTGGTAACTCCGGGAATAATCTGCGAAGATACTTCAAAATTATGTTGATGGCACCAGCAGACAGCTTAGCCTCTGTCAAAAAAGCCCTGCATATATCAACCAAATTGGGGCACCTCAGGTTGCAGCTGTGGACACTCCGTCGGGAAATAACTCTGTAATTACCTGTAAATGATCCGTTCACTTGTTCCACAAGGTAGTCTAATCAATGTAAGACGAGATTTTCGCATATTGAAAATAATTACGAACGCATACGACAAGTAACACAATGGAGATAGATTAGAAATAAACAGCAGGCAATGATAGCACGAAGCACACAAGCGAAAAGCAGAATGATAATGGCGGTCCGCCATTGAAACCACTTACAATCAATTAAAACAAACAGTCACTTCGGAACAATAGTTTGTAGATAAATATGACAATTATATGTTTTTTAATGCCATAAACGTACACTTGGGCTCATATGGGTCTTATTTAGGAAGTTGGAAATTCTGCAGTGAACTGGGAGTACAAAGTGCGAATTCTGGGACACTCTGGGAGCAAAAAATGCGACGCTGTGTTGGCAGGGGACCCAAAACGCAACAATTGCCAAAAAATGGGGAAGTAACTTTCTTGGACCTCAATTGTCTAAAGGGGTGGTTGAGAAGGAATTCATATATGAAGGAAGCGTACCGTAATGCGATGGAACGAAAAATGTAGTTGGGGTATTTAGAGCACGCAGTCGTAAGTGCTCTATAATGATGACTACTGTTTTATCTCTCGGACCACCTAGTAATCCAACTGCAAAAGCCGCAAAATATCGGGGTTGTAGTAGAATGTGCTACCGAGTGCATTGAGGTGGCCCTTAACGACTACTGTCTACTACAGAGCCCAGACCTGTCGACTTCATTGAATGAATGGATATGCACGTTCCGTCTAGGACCAGTTGCAGTCGCAGCAGATATCAAGGAAATGTTTCTGCAGGTTAATGCCCCCGAAGGAGACTTGGATGAACCGGCTAAGGAGTAAAGGATAACCGTTCACGCGTGGTATCCTCCCCTCTTTGTTCAAATTTTGCAGTGAGAAACATCGCAAAACGCGCAATTTGTCCAGGCTCCTCTGTCAAAGCATCCATGAGGCATGACTTTTATGTGAAGGATTTTCTGGGTGGCCTTCAACAGCATTGCCAGAGCTGTCCGAGAAATGGGTGATCTATTGAAGCTGCTGCTCATTGGTGGGTTCAAGCGGACTAAGTGAATGATTAACTGCCATCAGGCACCGAGTAAATTTCCCGTAAGCAAACGATAACAGTCTTCCGGACTTACACGGAAGCCCGCTACAAAAGGAAAGCACATATGATGTACGGTGGGACTGAAACTAACCGGAGTTGACGGCCTGCCGGTAAGTCTTCTTACGAGTCTCAATATGGGCGCGACCTCCTAGTGTCTCGTT